TGCTTGACTTATAATTCTGCCTACTTAAGGCCGTTCTCTACCATTTCTCCCATTTTGATTGCTTCCAAGAAGGATTTGCCAATTGCGGACATCATGTTTTGAAAGTAATCTGGCTCTTGAGCCTGAAGGAAGACAGTGATTAGCTCGTGGTCATTTATGGGTGGTTTAACTCTAGCTGCTTGTTCTCTCCATTTAATGGCATATTCCCTGAAATTTTTAGTTGGTTTGTTCTTCAGGTTTGAAAGGGAATTGCGGTCTGGGGCAATGTCAATGTTGTATTGAAACTGTTTGACAAAGGCCTGTGCCATGTCATCCCAGATGTACCAGTGAGATGTGTCTTGATCTAAAAACCATTCGGATTCTATTCCCTTGAGGCTTTCTCCAAAATAAGCTATTAACAATTCTTCGTTTCTTCCCGCACCCCTTAGTTGATTGCAATACCTTTTCAGGTGGGCTATGGGGTCTCCGTGTCCATCATACTTTTCAAATTTGGGAGTCTTGAAACCAAGCGGCAAGTGGACATCGGGGAACATACATATATCCTTGAAGGCAATACTCTTCTGACCTGCCAACCTTATATGTTTTTCAACTGTTGTTCTAAGCTTTTCACTCTTTGGGTATTTCTTCCTGTGCCCTCTTTCGGCCAGGCTTCTCAATCTTTGCAGGAAGATCAAATAGGTAAGAGTGGTACTTAGGAGAGTGGTACTTCTCTTGATTGGTAGCAAATTGTGACTCATGACAAGACTGTCCTTGGCCATTGGCTCATGCTTGACACATTTTGGTCATTTGCTGTTTCAGTATTTTATTTTCCTCAACCACAGTAGACTCTTGTCGAACCCTCTGACCCAGAGTCTCTTGAGCAATTGTAACAGCTTCGATGTTAGTCATCATCTTTCCTTGGATCTTGTGTTGTCCGCTTGCCATAAACCGACCACCTCAACTTTCTTCACAATTCAAAACAAGACATGTTAGAATGGACTCGGTCAATCCTTATTATTATCATCACTTTTTTTCATTTTTTCTTTTTTTCGTTTTCTTTTTTTAATGGTGATTGAACCAGATGTGGGTTGCCTACATATCATGTGGGAACATGAATCAGATCTTGTGGAGTTCGAAAAGATTAGGAATAAAGTAAATAAACTAACTTTTTTTTTTTTGGATTTTGAATTTTTTCTTTTATTTTTTCGAAAGAAAGACTTATAAAGAAGAAAGAGAATATTTTTGTTTTTGATTTTTCTTCAAAATTTTTACAAAGAAAGACTTCTAAAGAAAAGAGATATTTTTTTGAATTTTGACTCTTTTTTTTTTGGAATTTCAAAAGAAAAACTTTTAAAGAAGAAAGGAAATATTTTTGTATTTTTGAACTTTTATCTTCAATTTATGAAAGAACTACTTGAAAAAGAAAATATTTTTGATTCTTGAATTTCTTTTCAATGAAAGAAAGAATGAGAATATTTTTGGATTTTTGATTTTTTGTTGTTTTTTTTATTTGTTTTTCAAAATTTTGAAAGAAAGACTTCCAAAGAAGAAAGAAAATATTTTTTTTTGGATTTTTGATTTTGATTTTGTTTTCTTTTTTGGGTTTTTTGGGAAAAAGACTTTAAAAACGAGGAAAATATATTTTTTTGGATTTTGATTTGATTTTCTTTTCGAATGGAAGACTTCTAAAATGAAAGAAAATATTTTTGGTTTGAAATTTTTTAATTTGGGACTTTCTAAAGAAAGACTTCTAAAGAAGGAATTACGATTTCTTTTTTTGAATTTTGAAAATTGGGGTCTTAAAAGAAAGTCTTTTTTTTTTCAATCCGCTAGGCAAGCGCCTAGGGCTAGTTTTTTTAATTAAAAATAGAAAAGTAAATACAATAATTAGGAAATTGTCATTGTCTTCCTTCAATGAAAGGAAATAGACTTTGCACTCTAATGTAATGTACTATCAAAATTGAGCATAATACTCAAATTGATATCACATTATGCCTACTAAAACTTTGTAATTGTAAAAACAGCCCAAGTGAGTCCATGTCGACGTTGTATCTCCAGTCCAAAGCATCCCAGTTCCAGAGTGAAATTTGATTTGCGTCAATAGCCCCTTTTCAGCAACTTCACGTAGACTCCACCAATTTGGTAGCTCGATACTGTAGTAATACGGTACTGTATCATACGGTACTGTAGCATACGGTTACTGTAGCACGTGATCATGTGATGTCTCCTTGAGATTCCCACACTATTGAGGGGGCCAAGGTCCTTGGCATTTGCACCCAAATAATGCACATGCCTACAATGATTCCCATGCATTGTCCCTTTCTTTAATGATCCATGTTTCCAAAATATTCTGTAATGTGCACTCTAGGCGTGCCTTATTTTTTCTAGTTTGTCCGTTTAAGATTGTATATCCTCTTTCCATTTGTTGAAGCATGCGGTCAATTTGAAAAAGCATATGTCCAGCTTTTCATGCAAAGCTCCACATGCAATGTTGGAAAGCATTCGGTCAATAATATCCCAAAGATTCCATCTGGACCTTTTTTCTTGGCATGTAGCCAGGCGTGAATAGCCTATGCACTTGCCAGTAATAAAAATCCAAAAGTAACAGTTGCACTCTTCTATCAATTTGTTAAGGAATCGTTTGTATTTAGCCTTTTTCGATACCTTATCTTCATTATGAAACATGCATTCCAATGCTTGAACATTTGAATGTGGAATCCCAACGCCTCTTCTTTTTGATGTATGCAGCAAGAGTGGTCCAATTTTTTGCGCCAACTTTTGGTTTTGTCGAAGATTACACCCAGTGGTTTTATCCCAATGCGTATGCCTTCATATTCTATCAAGCTGCTGGACGCGTGCTTACAAAAAAAACTCGAATTTTTCTTCTAACGATGACTCCTCGATCCCATGCATTTGTATTAAATTAAAACTCCAGGCGTGCCTGCCTTTGTCGTTCCTTTTGTCTTGATGGAAAACAAGACAGTCCCAAGTCATGGCCCATATATGCGTTTTAATTCTTGGCTTTTTGAAAGCATAGGATAATATACTCGTAATGGCACCTGCACGAAAGAAAAGATAGTTAGAAATACCAACCATTATATCCTCCTCCATTAGGACTTGAATATATTGGTCGATTAAGTTGACATGCCTCCTGCTCTTCCTTTTCTCTTTGCTTCTTATCTCCTGTCCACCTTCACCCTTAGACTTGGACATTGCAGCTTATCTTCATTAACTAACCTCCTTCCCTGTGCATCTAGATGCCAGAATTGTTGGCATTCTATTTCTCCATGATCTAAAGCATAATTAGCCAAGTGATCTGCCAGCTTGTTTCCCTCCCTATGAATATGAGTAACTGTGTAATTGCCCCCATTCATTAGTTGCATCATTTCCTCTACCTGCTCAGATATGATCCATGGTGGTTTCCAGATCCCATCCATTATCTTTTTTAATAACATTGAGTCAGTTTGAAGCCATACATGAGAGTATTGTTGAAATCTGCAGAACCTTAGTGCTTCTACCATGGCCTTCGCTTCAGCTACTGTGTTTGTTGTCTCCTCAATCTCTTTCCCTACTGACTTGACTATGTCACCATTTTCATTTCTTATACAAAAACTTATTGAGCTCCTACCTGGATTTCCCCTCGATGCACCATCCGTATTAACTTTTAGCCATCCTGCACTTGGAAATTCCCACATGACTTTGGTAACCTTAAGTTTAGGAGTGAAATTTTCCATCATAGCTAATAGATCTTGCCATTTATGAGGTACCCTGTCCATCCCAGACTTTCTCACTTTCACCAATGCCTGCAGATTTGATCAAACTTGATAAATCACCCTGCTAGTTGTCACATCATCACCATACTTCATACTATTTCTTTTTTTCCAGAGTTCCCAGACTACACATGAGGGGAGTGCTTGCATTACTGGTTTGAGCCTTAAGCACACATTTGCAGTCCAACATTTTGTGATTGCTTGGTGCAATGTTAATCCCTCCACAGCTATTCCTGCCCTCGATAGAAAATACTTCCAAGTTGTCTTTGCAGTTTCTGATCTAAAAAACAAGTGCTGAAGAGATTCCTCGTTAGGCTATACATAACACCAACATTTTGATGGTATGCAGTAGCCTACCCTTTTCATAAAATCATCTAAAGGTAACTTTGCTTTCCACACTTTCCACATGAAAAATGCTATTTTAAAAGGCATTCCCTTTACCCAAATCATCCTATAAGCTGCTCTTGGTTCGTCTCTTCTTCTCATATAATCCCATGCTGACTTAACACTGAAATATCCTCTTGTTTCCAGCATCCAACAAGGTATGTCAAGAACCTACTGAGGTGAAGGTGGTTTGATTTTCTCCAAAATGTGTACTACTAAGTCTTCAGGAAGCATTTCAAATAGCCTGTCCACATCCCACTCACCATCTATGGTAACATCATATACATTATGTACAGTTTCATCAATGCCAAAGTCCTGAGGAACTAAAAACTATAGTGCCCCAAGACCTGTCCAGTTTTCAAACCAAAATAGTGAGGATCCCCTTTTTGGTTGCCAAAAGATTTGATGTTCAATCAGATCTCTGCATTCCAACATTTTTCTCCAAATATGAGACCCCTCTTTCCATGGAACAATTACAGAATTCAATTTCTTACAGTATTTCTAACATACGAAAGAGCTCCATAGGCTTGGTTTTGTTCTGAAATTCCACCACAACTTGCTGAATAATGCCTTTCCTACATCATGCAGGGACCTGAAACCTATTCCTCCTTCCTCAACTGGCATGCATAAGGTATTCCATGAAGCCCAATGCCTACTAGTTCCTCCTACAGAGTTGCTCCAGAAAAACTGAGCAAACAATTTGTGCAACCTATTTATCACATAATTTGGAAGGTTTACAGCTGATAATAGATGCATAGGCATGCTTTGCAGTACATGGGATATGAGAATTGCCCTGCCCCCTACTGATAATAACTTACCCTTCCATGATTGCAGTTTGTCCATTACCTTAGTAATTAGGGGCTGATACTATTCCAGCTTTCTCCTTGCATAAAATATAGGACAACCTAGATATATGATAGGAAAATCATTCCTATGAATGCCTGTGATCTTTTCCACCTTGCTGGCCACTTCCATGTCTGTTAAATAATGCAGGTACACATCTGATTTGGTCTTGTTAACAAGCTTCCCATATGCAACTTCATATGCATTCAGCACTTGCATAATCAGCATCAAATATATTTCATCTGAGGATGAGAAAATAATCATGTCATCTGCATATGCCAAATGATTGATCTTTGGACTCCACTTTGGCATCCCAAATCGATAGAAATACAGGTTAGTATGTAGTGCATTGAGACCCCTAGATAATGCTTCTGCTGCTAAGATAAACAAAGTTGGAGATATAGGATTACCTTGTTTTACTCCCCTTGAGGTCTTAAAGAACCCATGAGCTTGACCATTGATTAGAATAGAATACCAATTATTTGAAACTAATCCAAAGACCAACCCTATCAACCTTTCTGTGAATCCCATCTTTCTCAGTACCTTGGTTAGGAATAGCCAATATAATCTATCATAAGCTTTGGTCATATCTAGCTTCAGGATGATATTAGGTCCAGCCTTAGTTCTAAGCCTAATGTCAGTCACTATCTCCTGAGTTAGAAGGATGTTTTCTACTATATTCCTGCCCTTAACAAAACCTGACTGTTCCACCGATATCAGACTTGGGATAAATTTCACTTGCCTTTCATGTACCACCCTCGATATAACTTTATTTGAAAAGTTACTGAGACTTATTGGTCTTAAACCAAAAAAAGTGATAACTTCTTCTTTGGTAGCAGAACTAGGTTGGTGTGTGTTACACACTTGGGTAGCTCATGACCATTGAAAAAAGCCCTCACCATGTCATACAGGTCATCCCCTATTATGTCCCAACAAGAATGATAGAATTTGCCTGTCATACCATCTGGCCCCCCAGCACTATCACCATTAAGTCCAAAAACTGCCACTTTAACCTCCTCTTTTGTTGGTTGCTTAATCAATTCTGCATTCTGCTCAGTGTTAATCTTATTAGGAACACGCTCTATGATATCAAATGATGAAGGAGTAGCTGCTTCTGTGAACTGTTCGTCGTAGAATTTGATAGCCTCTTCTGCAATTTCTTGTTCTTCTTCAATCCAGGTTCCTCCACTATTTTGAATTCTGTTAAGCTGAAGTCTCTTCCTCCTACCTCTCACTTGTGCGTGGAAGAACTTAGTGTTCCTATCCCCTTCCTTGAACCAAGTCATGCCTGCCTTTTGTTGCCAATATTTCTCCTCTAGTGCAAGACATTTGATCAATTCTGCTTGAACCTTTTGTAGCCTTTCCTTGTTCATCCCTGTAGGATTTGCTTCAAATTCTGCTTCATGAACCAGCACCACCTCCTCCATGCTTTCTATCTTTTGGAAAATATCTCCAAATGTAGCCTTACTCAACAATGAAAGGGCCTTCTTTAATTTTTTTAACTTGTGATTAAAAAGAATATAAGGATTTGCACTGAAATCAGCTGTCCAATTCTCTTTCACCACATTTTTAAAAGTCGCATGTTCCACCCAAAAATTCAAGAACATAAAAGGCTTTTTTATTGGTGGAGTCTCAATATCACACTTCAGATACATTGGACTATGATCAGAACCAGTCTTTGACAAATGTTGCACCTCTATTCCTGGAAATGTTTGTTGGAACTCAACATTGGCCAAACATCTGTCTAGCCTTTTGAATATACAGTCTTCCTCTGCTCTCCCATTCCACCATGTAAATATGCTGCCTTTAAATCCAAGGTCGAAGAGATTGCAAGTGTTGACGCAGTGTCGAAAGTCATCATTTTCATTCAATGACACAGGTAACCCACCAAACTTCTCTTCTTCGTGCCATATTACATTGAAATCACCTCCTACAAGCCATGGTGCATCCACATCCCTTGCCATTGCATATAATGAATCCCATATTTCTATCCTCTCAATTGCATCACATTTAGCATATATCAATGTTAGGACAAACTCCACATGTGATTCAGTATGAAACAATCGTAGTGTTAATTGTTGCACCATATTGTACATAACAGTTACCTCAAATACCTCATATATGAAAGCCCAGATCTTGTTGGAAACATTTGAAATTGCCTGTGCAAGTCCTATCTTGTTTCTGTACCTTTCCAGTGTTTTTGCTTGTTGCTTTGGCTCCATTAATCCTACAATTTCATAGTGATTTTTCCTGTGCCTTTTTGTCAACCTTTCAAAGGCCTGTTGTGTGTTGACTAACCTTATATTCCAAATGAGAGCATTCATCACTGATTGTTGGATTTAGTTAGTGTTCTCCTTGTGTGCACCCCAGCTTTTGGGGATGTAAAATTATCTTTTGTTGTTTCTTCTAACCTTTTGCTGCTGATTTTGCCTTTCCACTTGCATAGGTGATAAGTCACCTTGCCTTGCAGCATTCATAAGGTGTTGGGTAGTTGATTCTTGATCCATGTCGTATCCTGATCTACCAGGTTCTTCTCCTTCTTTATTGTCTTCCTTCCCTACTGATGTAGCTCCAATTGCATTCTTTTTAGGGACCAAGGTCTTCTCTTCTCCTCTTTTTAACAGCTGCAACTGCTTTTTCTCCAATGTAACAGTAACATTTACTATTTCTATTTTTTGTTTTGGCTGTTTCTCCTTCTCTGTTGTTTTGTGTCCTTGTGGGTCTTCTTGTGATTTCTGAAGTTTATCATCTTCTATTCCTCCAGGATCATTTACCTCTGGGCCTCTTCCTTCATAGTTTCCAATTTCTGTGAATTCTGCTAACTGATAGTTATTGTTGTGCTCAACATTTTCTGATCCTCCCTTTATTAAAAAATTACCAGTTGTATTGTTGTCATTGGCATGGGGTTCTCCATTTACACTTTGCTCATCTTCTTCTTTGTCTTTCTCATTTGGTTCCTCATCAGCTTGTGCTCCTAGTAGTACTTCGTTCTCCTCTGAATCATATTCCCGTTGTGCATCCCATAGCCTGCCTCCACAGCCTTGCACTTTTTCTTTTAATGTAGAAGATTTTGACCCTTACGCTTGAGAATTTGGAGTTTTATTAAGTTTTTTGTTCACTAATGTATCTTGTGATGGGATTTCCTGGCATGATGTATTGATCTTCACTATTCCATCTCTAGTTTTATCCTTGAAACTTCTTTCTACCCATTGTGCAGTATTTTTTTTTGCTTTTGATGCCTACTTTCCATTGACTAGACCATTAGTCGAACCAATCCCCGATCAGTTAAGATGAAAAACTTGTGCTGCTAGATTTAGCTTTCCCTCATTATTGACCATGTGTTTTGGTTTTTGCTTTGTAGATGATTGGTTATGAACTGCTGGACTCTTTGTTGCTACATTAGCTGCCACCATTGCCAATTGATTAACAGGTTCTTCCTCTTCATCCATACCTTGTAATATTGCAAACTTGTTAGCTACTTGAACATGATCATTATCATCATTGTCTACTGCCACCAATTCTTTACCACTATTGCTTTGTGCTCCTTCTTGTCTATCTATAGTACTTGTACCCTCCTTGTTCTGATTGTTTTCAAGCTGCTTAGCTAGTGCCATCTCCATTCTATTATTATTGAGACTAGTATTTTGATTTACTACATTTCTAACTCTGTTGTCCTTCACTTCCTTCCATTGCTCTTTTGTTGTAACATCCACATTACCCACGACCTTTCCACTAGATAAAATCATTATAGGCTGTGAGTTCCCTATGTCCTGCTTCTTAGCTGTATCTGCTTGGTTAGCATTCTCCTTCTCCACATATAGTTCAGGGTGTATCCTCCAACATTCAAATTGATCATGCCCTTGAAGTTTACAATGTCTACAATATTTAGGCAGCATGTCATACTGAATTGTCACCCATTCAATTCTTGTTGTTCCTTTAGCTTCATTGATTATGTCCATCCTCACCTTTTTAGGCAAATCTGCAAGTAGATCAACTAGTACCTTCACCCTAGCACAACTAGGTCTAGTTTTATTAATTGTTGCCATGTCTAGATGCATAGGTTTACCTACTGCTGTAGCTAGAGAAAATAGACATTCCTTCACAAAAAAGGTTGGCAATAGACCTGGGAATGAAATCCAAGCCATTGCCTTGGGTGTTTCTTCATCTGCTCTAAACTTTGAGTCATAAATCAATGGCCTAAGCTGATATTGATAGCCATCCCTGTCCTTTATGTAATGAGTTTTTGATGAGAAATGAAGATAGTCCTGCCTTAACGTCATTCTAATCAAAATGTGCCTATCCCTTAGAAATCCAATGTTATATTCACCTTTAATTCTGTATTGAATTGGTATTAACTTACGCAGTTGTTGAATTTCTGGGTTGCCATAAGAACATTTACCAACTATTGCATATTGTAATCCTTCGATGATATCCATCCTTTCTACTTCTGCTTCTGTGAACTGAATAACATGCTCTCCATTCAATATTGTAGGTGGATGAATGAGAATTGGCTTAACTTCATGTTGCTCATGCATTGTAGCATTTAAGGTGCAAGGTTTCAGAATTTTGGAGTAATCCATCGGTTGTTTGTGGTTATTTGTGTTCCCTGATGTTTGTGCAATGTTTGGAGGAGGTTGGGTAGGCAGCGCAACCACAAAAGGTGGCTGGCCACCTGCCTGTGTGTCCATTACAGTTTTAATTCTTTAGCACTTTAATTACATGACAAAGGTGCAGCAGCTTTGTAAGAAAACGATGCTACTGTAATTCGAATTAGCTTCACGTTATTTACTGCTTATGGCTGTGAATCCAATTTCACAGTCCAAACTGTAAAAAATAGTAATTTCGATTTAAAATGAAGCTTAGAATTCAAACCAATCTTAGAAGAGAAGAGAACACTTTCACGTTATCAAAACAAGCTGTTGTGCTGAAAAGTAGCGCTGGAATTAGCTGAATCGCTGAAATTGAATGAAGAACACTGTCTGCTACAGTAACTCGTAAAAATGAAATTAAGATCTACAAAAATTGACTATAGATCTGAAGTTGAAACCAATTGGGTATTATTCGTAAGGAAATTATGTATCTTTTGACACCAAGTTTGGTTAGTTCTATCACCGGATGCCGGAGTTATGACCGGAAAATGATGACGAAATTACTATTCCTTCTCTTCCTAGAGAGAAGGCAGAGAATTTTGGGTTTAAAGAAAGACTTTCTATAGAAGGAAGTACAGGAAAAAAAATTGGATTTTTTTTTTGAAAATTATGAGCTGGAATCGATGAGGTTTGCCTACGTATCTCACATCCGGTGAGAATCAAACCCGCATAGTTCGTCCATTTTTGGTTGAACAGGAAAACATGACTTTTGAAGACATTGGCTTTTTTCTTTTTTTTCAAAATTTTGCAGAGTTTCGAAAATTTTCAAATACCTACTACTCGCTCTTGTTTTTTTTTATTTTCTTTCCCTATTCTAGAAGCCGGTCAACGTACAAGCCGGAACAAACAGATGCACAAGTAGCACGTAAGATGCATCAGGATGTTCTTTTTAATTTGGGTCCTAGACGGACACAACCCCTGTGTTGAGTTCCCAAAGTCAAATGCATGTGATGCAAACAAACGTTCCTACTAGGGATCCGGCATGAGGTTGAGTTATTCTAAGTTTAAAACCTAGGTATATTGTTCTAGATTTGGTGCACCCGAGCGGACAACTCGAGCTGAGGAAGGGGCTACGTACCGGGAATCAAAAGGCCATCTGACTTTGTAACTTGTCCGAGCCTCTTTCTAATTTAAGGTATGACACTAACAGAAAAGGAGTCATGTCAGCGTGCACATCCCTGAAGATGAGAAGACAATGTTTTCGCAATAGTTTATATACAGTTCAAATAATATCAAACCGGTAAAAAGTGACATTTAGCACATTAGTCTTAAACATGTCATAAATTCAAATAATAAGTAAAAACCAAATATAACAGTTATTCTAAGCTCGAATTCTTGAACCCTGAACCAGAGATTCTGGGTTCTTATCCCCAGCAGAGTCGCCAGAGCTGTCACACCTCCTTTTTACACCCTAGGGTATATAAGGGAGTTTTTCCAATAAAGTGACGTAAATCGAAATGAGATTAATCATAACAAATTCAGAGTCCCCACTTGGGATAATTTATTTGGTGTCCCAATCACCGGTTTATTTTAAAATCCCAAAACGAGGAAATTTTGACTTTATTTTTAAGAGTCTGTGAACCAGAAATTCTAAGTAAGGAATTCTATTAACCCAGGAGAAGGTGTTAGTTTCGTGGTTCTAGCACGGTCTCTTTAACTATTTATCAATTGGCCTATTATCTGTTTTACTACACAGTTTAAACTATTGTGCATTTTTTAAACTTTATAACCGCTTTTAATTAATTATTGCTAACATATCGCAAATCATGTCACGGGAACCGTATCCACGATCTACGACATGTTTAATTTTTTAAAAGAATAAATTGAGGCCGAGTCACATAAATGTACCCTCGGATTTTAGTAATTAAGCTTTCACAACTACGTCTTGGGAACCGTACCCATAGCTATGGCAATAATTCAATTAACGCGCCTAAAGCAAACCACAAAAGTTCGAGGCATTTTCTATACTAGTTTTATTTATGTGAGGGCCATAGGTTATGGATTTTATTTGCGTATGGTGCACCTCGACTTATTTTCTAAAAAAGGACTAGCTTTTTATCTAATTTCGTAAAGGCCATGTATTATAAGCTTTAAGCATGGCACACCTAAAATTTTTTTAAAAGAAAATAGTTGTATTTCACTAAAGCAAACTAAAGATGCTCCTACTTTAATCTAATTTAAAATTAGGTATCACAACCACGCCACGGGAATCGTACCCGTAGTTGTATTTATTTAATTGCGTGCCTAAAAGTATACTAGCGATGTTCATGAGTTACTTAACTTAATCAAATTTCGAATTAAAAAAACCATAAGAAATTGCACTGTTCCATCTCTATATTTTGGCACAACTACACATGACCTCAACGAAAACTAATTTGAAGATGATAATTATTCCCTTACACACAGATCTTTTTGCTATTATATTTATCTACTTTATCAAAATCCATTCTCAGATTATACGAACAAACATGGTATCCTAACTTAAGAAACCAACACAAGTACCTATTAAATTAACCCAGAATAAAGATGAATAAGATTGAGATCACTTAAAGAGCAAAATAAAAATTCATACA